CATTCACTAAACAATTTACAAAGATGAATTAGCATAAATGAGATGCAAATAAATTCTGTGCTTTCTCCCTCATTTTCAGATTTCATTTTCAGTCCACTCAACCTGTTATAATCTCGCAGTGATTTTCATTTAAAAGAGCTAAATGGATATGTGATTATTGTTACAGGAACTAACACCAGACAATTAAATGTTGAGGTGTTGCTAGATAAAGCAGTGTTTTGATTTGCATAAACACGATGCAAGAAAACCCATCTCAGGCAAGGTTTCAGCTCTGAGACGTGTTTAACTTCAACTAATTACCACAAGTACCTCTATTAAATTTTTAGTATCGAGAGTTAGGATTACAGCAATTTCATTTCAGGGTCCCATTTATTTTTATTTTGAACACCTAGTCAAAATGCAAGGCTGATCTATTTTCTACTTATCATCAACTTCTGCAGGTCAACACATCAAAAATCAATTACACACCCATGAAATTTAGTCATTAAGGATTAGCTGCTAATCTCATTCCATTCCTTGTCTAACCTTCCTCCTCTCTGCAGTAAGTGCATTCTGAACATTTGTGAAAATAAGGAATGACCTGTTAATTCCACACTGGGAACTAGATGTTAAGCAACAGGAAAATACCAAAAATTTAACATCCCAGTCTTTTTTTTTTTTTTTGGTAAATTACTACCCAATTGTTCACATATATTGCATTTAATATATCCCCATGAACACGCAGAACTGTATCTCGTGTCCAATGATGTTGAAAGAATTATTCAGAGAGACAGGACTCGATCAGTGCCACATTTGTTTTCTGTCCCATGTCTCAAAGCCTTTCCAAAACTGTCTCTACTGAAGCAGCCACTGAAAGTTTAGATACTTAAGGGGTGAAAGACAGGCCAGCTAAACGCAGAGCGGGATTAATCCGGCTGCAGCAGCCCTTTAATTTGGCAAGGGATGGATTATATGACCTGAGTGTCTTTCTTATCCTATGCTTATGACTTCGTAATTATGGCAATTATTTTCCAATCGTGCCATTTGGGAAAGGGAATAAACGCAATGTGCCTGTCTCGATGAATCTGTAGGGGGATTTTGTAGAAGCAGAGCACAACCGCTCAAGCTCCAATTGTGTTTGCTCCCCAGGACCAACTGTGGTAGGTGTGCCACGGCATTTTTACAAACGGTGAGTGCTCAGATTTCCCCCCCTCTCCCCACCTTCAGAAGCAGAGTGGCTTGCAGCGATACTCTGGGCATTTTTACCCGCCTATTTTGGCATACTTTTAGTAATAAAGCTGATAAGCAGCAGATGATCCCATGCAGTTAGCTGACCTCTCAAATAGAGGAAACACTGCCATCCGAAGACAATCCCAGAGCTGTTCATTTTTAACAAGTGAGAATAGGAAAGACACATCCTTGAAAAGGAAAAATTAATTTTCTGCCCGCAGAAGAGAAGATCATGATTGTAATGACAGATTCTACTCACCCTGAGCTTTCTTCCAAACACGGTCACTTTGCCTTTAATCTGTTCCTTCCTCAGACGCCATTCAATTGAGTTTAAACCGTTTTCCATTGGTAGAGAAATATTACATCGTCCTATGGTGGGAGTCACAGTCCCAGCCAGGACATGAGGTTCGCTGTGAAAGCTAATGCTCATGCCATTGGCATACATCACTCTCAAAGTACCATTATTACAGAGCTGGTAGCTGTTCCTCACTTGATCTACAGCAATAATGAAAAGAAAATAATTTAGCTACTCCAGTCATAAAGAAAACATATAGCTTAATTTGATTGGTTTTTTATTGCACTCCTGTTGATGTTAAATGAAGTCAGCCTGCAATTACCATTTACGTGGTACTATGGTGGAAATTACAGATGTTACTGATTCATGTAAAGAACAGTAGTGTAACAGTGAGCCTGCAGAGAGATACCGTGTTTATTTCGTTATGTTTTCCCTTTAGTCTTAATTGTGAATCAAAATGCACAGTGATACGTGTTCAACCACGTAATTTATTTCTAAAATGAACAAAAACTCCTGAAAACTGAACTGCTGGATAAACAACAAACCATTAAACTCTAGGACAAAAAAAGAAAAAAAAAAAAGAAGAAAATAAAAAAAGACTGCTGGACTCTTTCTGAGTGGGAAGAAGTAAGCGCCTCTTCTTTTTCTCTCCCTCTGTTTAAAAACTGTCTCCATGCAGAGGCTTTATATGGAATCACGCTTTGGCTTTATATCCTCAAGGTGGGAGGCTCCAGCACCGCAACCTGGCAGCTGCAGTCCTGGACTCGCCTGCTCTCCTGCCCCCTCCCGGGGCTGCACACCCGGCCCTCTGGCTGTCTGGAAGAGTTATAAAAAATCAGCAGTCCCCTCCAGCTGCCGGACACAGCCAAGACCGCTCTCGGCCAGGATGGAGCGCTACAGTGGACACCATCACCGAAGCATCAACATGTGTCTGCCAGCAGGACAGCATCTACCTGATTGATCATCTGGTATGAGAGAAATAAAGTCTTTGTAACCAGATGTGTCACGGCACAGTAGTCTATAAACGTTGACATTTATGTCAGGAGGAGACTATGGTTCAATGATGACATTCTTACTGCAGTGACATTATAGGTGAATTCAAAAAAACACCTCATCACTCACCAAATTCCTTTCAATTCACCTTCGATAACTGATTTCGCTTCAGGAGGGACAAGGCCTGGGCGGTGCTGCAGAGCTCTACGCCAACCGAACCGATCTTCTGCTGACCTCTC